CCCCCCCCCCCCCCCCCCCCCCCCCCCCCCCCCGCGCGCCGCCCAGAACCCCTCCCCCGTCCCGTCCCTTTTTGCCCCTGGAAGTGGGCCACTGGGCAAGCTTGTCTTTCCCCACCCTGCCCCCACCCTGTCATCTCAGGTCCTCTGGCTGCAGGAACCTCGGTACAGCCACCGCTTCGGGCTGCTGAGTGCGGCAGGGGACGGGAAGATGCTGCTGTGGCAGGGGGCGGGGGCAGGCCAGCTGCAGCTCACGGAGGGCTTCGCCCTGGTGGCCCAGCAGCTGCCGCGAAGCACCAAGCTGAAGAAGGTAGGCAGCCTGGGGACGTCCCTGAGGGCCTGTGTGCCCTCCTCTTGGCCCACTGCTGTTGGGTCAGTGGGCTCGAGGCCCTCGGCTCTGACCCCACTGTTGCCACCTCTCCACAGCCTTCCCGGGGTGAGACGGAGGTGGGTGCCACGGCGGTGGCTTTCTCCAGCTTTGACTCCAGCCTTTTCATTGTGGGCACGGAAGGCGGCTTCCCACTCAAGTGTTCCCTGGCAGCAGAAGAGGCGGCCCTCACCCGGCTGCCCAGCTCGGTGCCCCTGCGGGCGCCCGCGCAGTTCACCTTCTCCCCGCACGGGGGCCCTGTCTACTCCGTGAGCTACTCCCCCTTCCACAGGTACAGGAGGCCGGGCCACTGCCCTCCAGCCCACCAGGCCGGGCGACAGCTGCTTCAAGCAACTGCGTTCTGCTGGTTCCCCATTTGAGTCCCAGGAACTGTCCTCTCTGCTAAATCACCTGTTCAGGGAGCCCGGGGGTCTTCGTGAGCTCATGGCTCAGGAAGAGTCTGGTGGCAGGTGCCAGCCCCATACAAGGCCAATTCCCTTATCCCCTCTGCCCTCCATTCCATCTAGGAATCTCTTCCTGAGCGCAGGGACAGACGGCCACATCCACCTGTACTCTGTGCTGCAGGCCCAACCCCTGACCTCACTGCAGCTGTCCCACAAGTATCTTTTTGCTGTGCGCTGGTCCCCTGTGCGCCCCCTGGTTTTTGCAGCTGCTTCTGGGGAAGGTAGGAGAAGTCGACCAAACCTCTAAGTGGTGTTATGGACATAACTGGGACCTGGAATTGTGTTGGGGACATTGCGAGTAGAGTGAGGACAATTATCCTCCCTAAACCCCAACTGTAGCCCTCCACGGGGCAGGGGTGGGTGGAGCACTGAGCATCTGCAGCAGCCTTGCTCTGGGCTGTGGCTTCTAATGTCCAAACTTCTCCCTGCAGGTGACCTGCAGCTGTTTGATCTCCAGAAAAGCTCCCAGAAACCCACAGTGTCCATTGTGCAGACCCAGGACGGAAGCCCCGTCTACTGTCTGGAATTCAACAGTCAGCAGACCCAGCTCTTGGCTGCTGGTGATGCCAAGGGCACGGTGAAGGTGTGGCAGCTAAGCACTGCCTTCACTGAACAGGGGCCCCGAGAAACAGAAGACCTGGACCAGCTGGCAGCGGAGGTGGCCACCTGAGGGGCACAAGGGTCACAGTGGGATGAGGCGGTCGAGCTGTTTCTGGTGTGAGCTGAATAAAGAGGAGCAAAGCGTTCAGGGGGAGAAGTCAAGTCTTTATTTGTCTTTTACATGAAAAGGAAATCATCTGGGGGAGGGAGAGAGCACATGAAAGGAGCGAGCCGGCTGCCTGGACCTTCTATGTCGGAATGCGGGCAGCTGCTCAGACATGGGGCTGGTCCCACAGAAGCCCGGTGATGGTGGCTGGACCAGAAGCGGTTTATTTATTAAAGCACCATTTTTAACTAAGTCTCACCCAAGCTAAGCACAGGCTGTGGTCACACTGGGAAGGAACACTGTCCTCAAGAGCACAGAGGAGTTGACATGCAGCAGGGCCCGGCAGGGCAAGCGGTGGGAGCCGGGCCAGTGGGGAGCAGGGGGTCAGTTCACAAAGAGTGAGCGGGTGAACTCGACGTAGTCGAAGGCGGTGGGGAGCTCGCGGCCCTTGCCGTCCACATAGGGCTTCATGTGGGAGACGCAGTAGTCGGCCTGTTCCCGGGTCAGGTTCTGGAGGGAGACACACATGGGCTCAGCCCACCTGCCAGCCGAAGCTGGGCTGGTCTAGGCAGGGCCAGTTCTGGTTCACACCGAGCTGTGAGTCCGCCACATCCGGCACAGGGCAGGCCCACCATCGGGCCTGTAGCTCCAGTTGTCTGCAGCACACTCCCTGCCCCTCCCGCGGCCGCACCTGGTAGAGCTCCTCCTTGGTGACGTAGGGCTTCCCCTCAGAGCTCAGGGCCCGGAAGGCACTCTCGATCTCCTCGCTGGACTTGACATTCTCAGTTTCACGGCTGATCATAAAAGCCATGTATTCTTGCAGGGAGACATGGCCATCCCTGGGGGAGGGAGGGAGGGAGCAGGTGCAGTGAGTAGGCAGGAGGGGCGGGAGCCTGAGGCCAGGGCCACATCCACCACTGTCCCTAAAGCTCACCTGTTGGGATCCACAGTGTCCAGGATCGCCTCGAACTCTGGGTCAGGTTCCCCCTCCTCCACCATGGGCAGGTCGTAGCCCAGGGAGCGCAGGCAGGACTTGAACTCCTGGTGGTTCAGCCTGCCAGACTTGTCCTTGTCGAAGTGTCTGCAGCAGAGCCGAGGGCTGCTCAGCCCAGGGGCCCCACCGCCCAGCCGTCCCCAGCCAGATGGGGCTATACTTACTTAAACATCATGCTGAACTCCTTAAGGGCCTCCTCAGTCACACCTGTTGTGTTCCTGGAAGAACAACAGAATCAGGGGCCAGCCAGCCACACGGCAGGTGGCACGTTCTATCCTGTGCCAGCTTTTGTCGCCGACTGTTGGACTCTGGCTGACCCCGCTGGGCCCACCACCCTCCGTGTGCAGTACCTGGCCTGGATCTGCTGCTCCAGGTTGTGCTGCATGCGCATGCCCAGCTGGTCAAGCTGGTCCCACTGCTGGGCCAGGCCCACGGTGCTGTGCTCCGTGTACTTGTTGTCCAGGATGAGGGCTTCCTCCATGGCAGCCCCCAGGTCCTCAATCTTCTTGAGCTGACTTCTCATGGCTCGTATTTCCTGGTGCTTGCGCTGCAGGGTGGGGGCAAAGACACAGGGATGGGACTCTCCCTCAGGCCTGGCCCAGGAGCCCACAAGCTCCCTCCTGGCCTCAGGTGCTTAGCCTGAGGCCTTCTAGGATGAGAGCAGTGGTGACACTGCAGAGAGACTTTTTCAAGCCAGCTGGTCGACCCGCCAGGGAAACCATACACTGTGGACAAAAAGGCCCCTCCCTTTTCAAGTAGGGATCCAGATAGCAGTTGCCACAGACTGTAAAATGACAAGTCCCAAGCTGCTTTCAGACTTGGGAAAAGCCAGCCCATGAGGGGCCTGACGGGCCAAGAAGGAAGAACAGGTCTGCCCAGGGATGGGGGTGAGGCCCAAGCCAGGTCTGAGCCTCCAGGCACTCACTTTGGTAGCTTCAAGCTGGGATTCGAGGGTTCCAGATTCTTCCACCATGCAAGACCTAAACACAGAAGCATAGTGAGGGAGGGGACCGATCCCACAGATGGCAGCTCAGGACCAACTCCCTCTTGGCTAAATACCGGGTAGCCTGCAGGTCCTTTGTCAAGGAAACAAAGCCTGTCTGCTATGGGCTGTGCTTCCTGACTGGCCCTGGGAGCATGAGAGCAGGAAACACCTCTCCTGTTTCACAGCCACGCAGGCTGAGGACCCTTTCTCAGGTGCTTCTCAGCTCCAGCCAAGAGAGGCCTCCAAGAGGTCACTTGGGAATTAAGTTTTGTTCCTCGAGGGGACAACAGAGCCCCTTTTCTCTGCAGCTGTGGGGAGGACAAGAGACCCAAGACAGGAGGCTAAGGGCTGAGGACCTGCCAGCAGTCCCAGGCCTCCTGGAGTCTCCTTGCAGGTGCCTAAGGAGGGGAGCCACATTCAAGTGACACTGCAGCCCCTCAGAGGAACAAATGAAGAGGCCCAGGTGGGCGTCTGGCAAGTGGTTTATGCTGCCTAAAAGGGTTGGCTGTGACTAAGCCCTGGGACTCAGGTCCCACTGTAGAGCCAGGCCTCCTTACAGGGCTAAGTTCTTGGGGGAGCCTACTTCTCCCCAGAAGAACACAGTAGGAGGTCATAAAAGGCTACCAGTGAACAAAGACAACAAATGAGTTGGGGTCACGTGCAGGGACGCGTTCACACGGTGTGCAAGACCTCAGTGGGATTTTAACCCCGTTTCCACAGTACCCAATGTTTGTCCCGATCTACCCCTGGAGACCTGGAGGACCAGGGTGAGCTCCAAAATCTCCCCAGGTTCAAAGTGCACTAGCAAGGCAAGGCACCAGGCTTCCTCCTACCCCAGCCGGCGAAACTCACAGGCACGCCCCATCCCAGGGGAAAGGTGCCCCAGGACTTGGGGCAGGAGGTGGGGCCAGTGCAGCAGAGGGGAGGACAGACCCTCCTGCCCAAGCGGCTGAGGGCGTGGGTTAGTCAGAAAGCGGAGCCGCCTAAGGAGTCCAGAGTGCATTGGTAAAACCACAGTGAGGGAAGAAGAGAAATAAGAGGAGAAAAACCTTCCAGACAGATCATCCCCAACTTCATACTGATAGACACGAATGACCCGACGATATGCTATGCTAGTCAAAGAAAAGAAACCAAGTGAATACACCACAGGGCGGCAGCAAGGGCCTCCCTGACAGACACGCGCCACAGGCAAGGGCAACCTGGCACCAGCAGGGACCTGGAGGTGGTGGGCCCAGCGGCCACCTTGGGGCAGCTCAGTGGTTCTGGGCAAGGCGGGACAAGGCTTGGGAGGAGCCACAGGAGAGCGGGCACAGCACCACAGAGACAAGACCAAGCGCAGCAGACAGGGTGGGGTGCAGGGAGAGCCAGGGAGCCGCAGGCTCAGGCCGCGAGCTGCCACCGTCACCCCTGCACTGAGTGGACTCCTATAGCCTGACTGGTTTGGGTAGATCTTTCCCATCACCATCTCCACCCGCCTGGCTGTACTGTCTGTAGAACCTCAGGGGCACCAGTTAAGCCACTGTGGTCTTGGTGGAACTGGTCAAGAATGCAAGGATGAGCATCCTGGATGAAGGTCCCCAGCTCTGCAGAGGCCCTGCTGGGAGTGGGGGAGCGCCCTGCTCCTCTCTGGGCTCCTCCAAGCCCTGTCTCCACATCACATAGTTAACACTGGGCACTGCCTTCTTTCTACTAGGTTACCCTCCCCTTAGAGGATGCTAGGGGTCACCTTAGTCCTGGGGGGAGGCATACTCTGACCACACCTTGTCTGCACCCCCAAACTGTCATCTAGCTTCATGCACCATGGACATCTAGGGGTGAAATATGGCCTCTTTGGACAGACTGGGGAAACAGGCAAAAGAAGTCCAATATGATCCCAGGGGCTGAGCAGCAGTTGGGGCTTTTGTTCTGGCCTCCTGCTCGGTCACATTTCCCACCTCAAGAGAACCTGTGAATTTGGGTGGGAAGGTGGAAGCGCTGGGCCGGCCCCCAGACTGCAGGCCCTGTCAGGGAGGAGGGGTGTGGGGAGAAGGCACACCCTCCTTCTCAGGTGACAGGGTGGGTGGGCAGGAAGGCCTGGCCTGGGATCTTCTACAAGCCAGGCCACAGGGGGACGAGGCTCAGGGACAAGCACACAAGACACCAAGACATCACGAGCCCGGAAAAAGAAGACAATATTAACCCATCGAGGAGGTACGTTCTGTGGAGTGGAGATCCAAGCAGCCACGAGACAAGGTGGTGTCCAGACGCAGCAGCAATCAGGGGAAGGGACAAGGAGGACACGATAAAGAAAGAAAGAAAAAAAACCAATATTGTCAGTACCAGTCTGCCTTTGCCCCTGCCCTGGCCATTGCCTAGCTGCTGCTGGGGGTTGACCATGGCCCAAGCATGCCCCCCGCAGAACACCTGGGGGCGCAGCCTCAGGGGAACGTATGGTGAGCGCTGTTCTGACTGCCTGCCCGCCCTCTGGGGGCAGAGCCCACGGGCTGTTAGTCCAAGCAGGCCACCGTTTTTTTTTTTTCCTCCCAGCACTGGGAAGTGAACCCAGGGGTTCTTCATTGCTGAGCGATGCAACCCACCCCCCCCAGCCCTTCTTTTTTTTTTTTAATATTTATTTTTAGTTTTAGGTCAACACAATCTCTTTATTTTTATGTGGTGCTGAGGAGCGAACCCAGTGCCTTATGCATGCTAGGTGAGCACTTTACCACTGACCCACAACCCCAGCTCTGCCCTTCTAATTTTTCAAAAAACATTTTGACATGAGTTTTGCTATATTGCCCAGGCTGGCTTCAAATCCATGATATTCCTTCCTGCCTTAGGCTCCTAAGTCTCTGGAATGACAGGAAACAGCACCGGGTAGGCCTCCATTTTTTTGTTTGTTTATGTTTTAATGCTATTGGGGTTAGAACCTGAGTATTTTTCTGCTGAGCTACATCCCCAGCCCTTTAATTCTTAAAAAAATGTTATTCTTCTGATATTGGGATTGAACCCAGGGGCACTCAACCACTGAGCCACATCCCCAGTCCTTTTTATATTTTATTTTGGGATAGGGTCTTGCTAAGTTGC